AAAAAAAAAAAAAAAAAAAGTTAGCTGGGTATGGTGGCGCATAGTGAGTAATTCCAGGTACTCACGAGGCTGGGGTGGGAAGATTGCTTGAGCTCAGGAGGTTGAGGCTGAAGTGAGCCATGACTGTGCCACTGTACTCCAGTTTGGGCAACAGCAAGACCCTGTCTCAAAAAAAAATTCAAGCGATTCTCCTGCCTCAGCCTCCCGAGTAGCTGGGATTACAGGCATGCACCACCACGCCTGGCTAATTTTGTATTTTTAGTAGAGACGGGGTTACTCCATATTGGTCAGGCGGGTCTCAAACTCCCGACCTCGGACAGTCTGACCAGCTCTGCTTCCCAAAGTGCTGGGATTACAGGTGTGAGCTGCTGCACCTGGCCTTTTTTTTTTTTTTTTTTTTTTTAAATAGAGACAGGGTCTCACCATGTTTCCTGTGTTGCCCAGGTTAGTCTTGAACTCCTGGGCTCAAGGGATCCTCCTGTTTTGGCCTCCCAAAGTGATGGGATTACAGGCATGAGCCACCACGCCCAGCCTCTTCTTTTTTTCACATGGAGAAATTCCAGCCTTGAGAGAAGACACAAATTGAGTTAGAGCCAGAGCCGAGACCAGCACTGAAATTGTCTCCCTCTCATCCTGTGCTCCTTCTGTCACTCCATCTGTTTTTCATTCTTTTACTGACAGCAGAGAGGCAGCCTCTGCACAGTTGCTTCTTGATGATGACAGACATATTGCCCTCCTTTTACCATGTGGTGGTAAACAGTGTCATGTCCTGCTTCTCATTTCTCAACGATCAGGTTTGCCTGATTTGGACTGAAAAAAGTTCTTTTTTTTTTTTTTTTTGAGACGGAGTATTGCTGTGTTGCCCAGGCTGGAGTGTAGTGGCATAATCTCAGCTCGCTGCAACCTCTGACTCCCGGTTTCAGGTGATTCTCCTGCCTCAGCCTCCCAAGTAGCTGGGATTACAGGCACCCGCCACCACACCCAGCTAATTTTTGTAGTTTTAGTAGAGATGGGGTTTTGCTATGTTGCCGAGGCTGGTCTTGAGCTCCTGACCTCGTGATCCCGCCCGCCTTGGCCTCCCAAGGTGCTGGGATTATAGGCAAGAACCACCGCGCTGGGTCAGTTCTATGAATTTTTTTTTTTTTTTTTTTTAGAGAGAGTCTTGCTTTGTTGCCAGGCTGGAGCGTGGTGGCGCCATCCCTGTTCACCACAACCTCCGTCTCCTGGGTTCAAGCAATCTTCATGCCTCAGCCTCCAGAGTAGCTGGGATAACAGGTGCATGCCACTACCGCCCGGCTAATTTTTGTATTTTTTGTAGAGATAGGGTTTCACCATGTTGACCAGGCTGGTCTCGAACTCCTGATGTCTGGTGATCCACCCACCTTGGCCTCCCAAAGTGCTGGGATTACAGGCGTGAGCCACTGCGCTGGGCCAGTTCTATGATTTTTGATTGGAGTTGGTTCAGTTCCCCAGCATTTATCAGAAAGCATCCTAGGATCTGGAGCCACCAGCCTGAAGAGTGTTTACTGTGTGTTGGGCAAAGCATGATCAGGACTTTAAAAGGTTCAGTGAGCTGTGGGAGAGACACAATTGCTTCATGATGGAGGGAGCTGAAGCTGGACTTGACAGGCCCAGGAGAATTCCTGCAAGTGCGTATGGGGGAGATAGGCAGGGAGAGGATATTCCCAGGAGAGGAAATCATCCTGAGATGTTTGCACTAACGGTTTAGGCCAAAAAAAAAAAAAGAAAAAATGTACTGGGAAGGTCATGGGGCTGGGGAATTAGGGCACATTCAAGGAAGGAGGAGCAAGCCTGGGTAGTTTACAAACAGGCTTTGTTCCTGTTGAAGGGATCAGGAAAAAAGTAGAATACGTTTTATGATGGGACATGATGAGAGGCTAAGTGAGGGTCAGAGATCTTTTTTTTTTTTTCTTCTGAGACGGGAGTCTCACTCTGTTGCCCAGGCTGGAGTGCAGTGGCATGATCTCGGCTCACTGCAACCTTCGCCTCCTGGGTTCAAGTGATTCTCCTACCTCAGCCTCTCAAGTAGCTGGGACTACAGGTGTGCACCACCATGCCAGCTAATTTTTTGTATTTTTAGTAGATAGGGGTTTCACCATGTTGGCCAGGCTAGTCTTGAACTCCTGACCTCAAGTGATCCTCCCATCTTGGCCTCCTAAAGTGCTGGGATTACAGGCGTGAGCCACCGTGCCTGGTCTAGGGTCAGAGGTCTTGAGTGCAGTGCCATTGATTTTGGATTTTATTCTGTAGGTGTTTGGCTTTTTTACTGAGGGAAAAAACCTCACAGTGCACCTGTAAGTAATCACTCCCCTATATAACCCATCAACTGAGGAAGAAATAAAGCAGAAAGATCCTTGAGGAAAATTTGAGTAAGAGGAAAAATGTTATAGATATTTTAATAAATATTACAGAAAAATGCTGTTAGGGATGAGAACTACTGTACATATTTCACAGAAACCTGGTTTTTTGTTTTTGTTTTTTTTTTTGAGACAGGGTCTCACTCTGTTACCCACACTGGAGTACAGTGGCATGATCAAGGCTCACTGCCGCCTCAAGTTCCAAGGCTCAAGCCATCCTCCTGTCTCAGCCCCACTAGTAGCTGGGACTACAGGCGTGCATCACCATGCCTGGCTGATATTTTTGAATTTTAGTAGAGATGAGGTCTTGATATGTTGCCCAATCTGGTCTCCAACTCCTGAGCTCAAGTGATCCTCCCACCTTGGCCTCCTAAAGTATTGGGATTACAGTTGTGAGCCACTGCGCCAGGCCAAGTTTTTTTTTT